TTTATCAGATCGATTTCAGTTTGTACATGTTAACGATGAGTCCTCCATGCACGCCAAAGTTACTCATGGAGTTCCTCAAGGATCTGTCCTTGGACCAATCCTCTTCACTTTATATATGCTTCCTTTAGGCAATATTATCAGGAAACATTCCATAAGCTTTCATTGTTATGCAGATGATACTCAGTTATATCTATCGATCAAGCCAGATGAAACTCATCAGTTAGCTAAACTTCAAATGTGCCTTCAGGATGTTAAAACCTGGATGACCTGTAATTTTCTCATGTTAAACTCAGATAAAACTGAAGTTATTGCTCTGGGGCCTAAGCACCTCCGTGACGCATTATCTAAAGATATAGTTTCCCTGGATGGCATCGCCTTGGCCTCCAGCACCACTGTGAGGAATCTTGGAGTTATCTTTGATCAGGACATGTCGTTTAAGTCTCACATTAAGCAAATTTCAAGGACCGCCTTTTTTCACCTACGTAATATTGCGAAAATCAGGAACATCCTGTCTAAAAATGATGCAGAAAAACTAGTCCATGCATTTGTTACTTCTAGGCTGGATTACTGTAATTCCTTATTATCAGGCTGCTCGAAAACGTCCATTAAGACTCTTCAGCTGATCCAGAATGCTGCAGCACGTGTTCTGACAGGAACCAGGAAAAGAGATCACATTTCTCCTGTTTTAGCTTCTTTGCATTGGCTTCCAGTAAAATCCAGAATAGAATTTAAAATCATTCTTCTTACCTACAAAGCTCTTAATGGTCAGGCACCATCTTATCTTAAAGAGCTCATAGTACCTTACTACCCCACCAGAGCACTGCGCTCCCAGAATGCAGGGTTACTTGTGGTTCCTAGAGTCTCCAAAAGTAGACTAGGAGCCAGAGCGTTCAGCTATCAAGCTCCTCTCCTGTGGAACCAGGTTCCAGTTTGGGTTCAGGAGGCAGACACCATCTCCACATTTAAGAGTAGGCTTAAGACTTTCTTCTTTGATAAAGCTTATAGTTAGGGCTGGCTCAGGTAGTCCTGAACCATCCCTTAGTTATGCTGCTATAGGCCTAGACTGCCGGGGGATTTCCCATGATGCACTGAGCTCCTCTCTCCTCTACTTTCTCTCCCTCTGTATGCAACCTTATCCCATTATTGCATGTTACTAACACAACTTCTCCCCTTTCTGGTAGTCTTGTGCTTTCTCGTCTCTCTCCTCTCTCCTATCACTTCCTGCAGGTTTTCTGGCTCTGGAGCTGTGGAGTCTGGATCTGTGGCTGCGGGTCACCTGCTGCCCCTGTGTTCCTGCTCGACACCCTCTGCTGCAACGACTATTGTTGCTAGTCTTATTGTTATTATTGTTATTATAATCATTAACATTACGATGGTTACCATTAACACTATTATAAATATTTGTACCATTTTTCATTTAGTCTATAGCAACATTACCTTCACTGTCTGTACCTCTGTGTGTATATTGTGTAGGCTGCCTCCCTCCCCTCTCTCTCTCCTTACATCTCTCTCTCTCTCTCTCTCTCACCCCAACCGGTCGAGGCAGATGGCCGCCCACCCTGAGCCATGGTTCTGCTCGAGGTTTCTGCCTCTTAAAAGGAAGTTTTTCCTTGCCTCTGTCTCCTAGTGCTTGCTCTTGGTGGGAACTGTTGGGCTTCTGTAAATATCATCACAGAGTATGGTCTAGATCTGCTCTTTTATGAAAAGTGCTGTGAGATAACTGTTGTTGTGATTTGGCGCTATATAAATAAAATTGAATTGAATTGAATAAAAAGTTTCATTACCCGAATTTTCCAAAAACAATAATACTTACCCTCACATGTTGAGTGCGTACAGTCTATGGCCAAGTGGTGCTGCTTCCATGACGTTTTTTTGTTGTGTCAACAGCGGTGCTTAATGCAGCTAAATTTGTTGGTTAATGACATTGCTCTGTTGGTTTATCTGCTATAGTAGGTTGCCACCGAAGTGGCAACCGAATCTGATTAAGAATAAAACAATCTTCACAACTTTAAAAATCTGGGTCCTCCCTCGATGGGGATCATTATTTTCTTAAACTAAAGCAGATATGCGGCCTCGGCCCACCACCTAGTTCATTCACTAACTGTACGTGGTGGTAAGCCAAGTTCTAAGCATCTCTAGTCAAAGTCACAGCTCTTTGGTCAACTCTTGTTCAATGGTAAACTTCAACAAATAACTTATCAAGCTCTAACCTTGGTTTAACTGCAGAACTCTGCAGACTAAGGAAAAAAAGATTTGTGAGAAAGATTGCCACTAGTACTTTCTGCATGCTATGGCAGAGCAGAGCAAGTGGTCCTTGAAGTGGAAGAAAATGAGAGCCATTACTCCCCTTATTTGAGTTCCACATTCTGAATAAGGAGAATAACAGTGAATAAAAATACCAAAAGATATTACTGACTTTCACAACATACATTTATTTAACGTAACATTACTTAGACTAGCTACCAGAGCCAGTCCGGACCTCCCTGGTGCTCTAAGCAAAATTCTGCTATGGGGCCCTCCTACCTGACTCATGAACCATGTAAACAATTTGCCATTGCTACACAGTCACACCTGACACCACAGTGCTGTCATTACAATTCTCCCTTCTTTAGAATAGTTAGCTCCATCTGTTGCTCTCAAAGTATAGACCTGTACAAAACAAAATGGTGTAGAAACAAACAAGATTTAATAATTAGGATAAGTGAATAGGCTATTAACTCAACTGTGACTGTGCTTGTACTGACTGTTGATCATGCATCCCCTACACTGACAAACTTAAACAATCCCCCTGTAAATTATAGATAACAATACTATTCTTACTTTTATCTGCTGCATCGGGTCCATTCAAAGTGGGTCCCCCCGATTGTCTTATATAAAATACCATTTATAGTCTGGCAAGGATGAATTTTTGATGGTTATTATTAAGATGGGCATCAACATCGCCCAGAATTCCCAGCTAATCAACATTTTAAATTCAATATTTAATCAATAGTCAGTGTCAATCCATTGCTTTCCATCTTGCATTAGGCCAGAGTTACTATATCTTGACAGAGAGACTAGAAAATCTTAAAATGATGTGTGGCCATATATTATCTGGAATGGTCCCACAGAGGTTGCTGCTGGAAAGTAAGAAAAACAGCCCTGAAGTGGCTGGCAAGCAAGCACGACACAGACAGACCAAGAGATGCACTGCCCAGAGAGGCCAGCAAGATAGCCAGACTAGAGAAAGATGCACTGCAAGCTAGCACATCAACTTAGCGTTACTGTTGTTTGCTGACATCACACTTGGAGAGCCGCCCATAGAGAAAAGCAGGCAGGCCAGAATGGGAACAGGTAAGCGTCACATAGTGCCCCTGGGTAATGCAGTTTATTTAAAAAGTCAGGGTACACTAAAGAATAAAAAGTAAATAAATAAAAAGTGCATACTGGTGAGTACTGGCCCACTTCAAGCACTGCTAGCAAGAACTATTGACCTCATTTAAAGGACCAGTAAGATAATTCCAACCTAGGATTAAACTACACTGGTTATACTTGATTTTAGCATGTTGGTCTCCGTGTCTTCCTTAAGTGATATTCAGTTATGTTTGGTTTAGTTTGGTGTTGATGTATTAGATCACACCCTCTGGTGCTTTGGGCCAGTGCCTCATTGTGCCAATTCCACCCTTTATAAAACATCCATTACTCTCATAATGTCGTGTCAGACCACAAAATCAAGCCTAAATGATAAACTGCCTTTAGTGCAAATGAATATTTAATCAACTCAAGGTGATTAGGTTTACAGTAAACGGGGTAACTTTACCTTTAGTCAAGCTACAAGTTAGTAGTAGCTTTAAATGTAATGCCTCTGCAGGTTTAATGGTCTCAAGGTATTTACAAAAAGAGACCCCAGTTGTTCTCTGATGAACAATTGGCCCTCACATGGTTCACTAAAAATAGAAATCCTGCAGCACCTGTTGCCCTCTGTCAAGCACCAGGGCGTTTGTTTTGAGAGATTAAAGGGATATAATTGCTTTTGCAGTAAGTGGGACTTCCAAAAGAAAAGTGGATAAAACGGATTTAAGGCTATCAAAAGTGGTGCAACATACTGTTACTCAACTATCATACCAACTAAAATTTTATGCTACTTGAATTTAGTAGTTCTACTTTTCAGATGGCAATATTGTACTTTTTCTCCACTACATTGATGAGACAGCTGTAGTAACTTTTCAGATTAAGATGTTACATAAAAAGACACAGACTCTTTAGAGCAAAGTAAAAAAAATAAATTCATACATCTTATGACCCTCACATTCATTTGTGACTCTTTGGAGTGGGCCTGACCCCTATATAACTGTTATAATATGTATAATGTATATAATATAAAATATATATATAAAAGTTAAAACTAGCTCCACCTCCACCAGCTACAATAGTAAAATGCTGCTTACACAGCACTGAATCATTATTAATAATCTAATAATGTTCTATAGCTACAGTAACCATACATCAGTCAGTAACCATAAGGAGTAGGCCTACTTTACTTATGCTTTACGTAGGTCTACATTTTGCAGATAATACTTCTGTACTTTAACTTAAGAACTCGAATGCAGGACTCTTAGTTCTACTTGTAATGGAAAATGTTCTTCCACCACTGGCCACACTATGTTAGTTGGATGGAATAAGATCAGAATAAACTTGGTCTGATGATTGACGCCTGCTGTAGTGTAAATGTTTGTGAAGGCTGTCAGAACCTCTGTCAGGCTCCCCCTTGCCTCCCCCGGGGCAGCCAGAGAGGGGAGTAATAGATTTAAATCACAGAGTGAATAACGGATCTCCCTAGGGGCCTCATGGCAGTCTCTGTAATGCTTGTATGGATGTTGTGGTGTGTTTAGTGCCTCAGCAGCCTCGGCACACACTGCTGGAGCATAAAGCCAAGCTGACAGACGCACAGCCGCTCACCAGACGGACCGTACGAGCTGCCGTGGAAGAGGCGGAGGAGGAAGAAAAGGAAGAAGAAGATCCAAGAGTAAAAACTTCCCAAGGAAAAAAATTATTTTTCCAAGGCAGCCAGAAGATGTCCGTGGCAGTGAAGAAAGGAATAAGTGCTAAGGCCGAGACCAGAAAATGCGCAGCGCGTTTCTGGAGGCTCTTTCCTCACCTTTTGCTGTGTCTGTCTCTGGTGGCATACGCAGCGCTGGGTGCACTCATGTTCCAGCAGATTGAAGGAAGGAGCAAGTCCACTACCGAACAGGAGTACCATACCTTCCTGGGTCAGGTAGTCAGCACGGTCCAGAACCTCACCGGTGAGTGGTGGCCACACCATCTGATATCACTGTGTAACCAACCTTTCAAAATTGATTTCTGTCGACATTTATGGATTTTGGTTGCTGATTCAATCCGTGGCGATTTTGGTATATTTCCTTTCCATTATTATGCTGATAAATCAATTGGAGTAACACTTGACAGTAAGGGACACAGCATTTTGAGTAGTTATCTGGGAACAAATAAGGAACGAATGAGGAACTAGTTGCTAGTGAACCATTAGTTAATAAGTAACTCCTAATTAAATCGTATTGATCAGCTTACAGTTAATTAAGGTGTAAGGAACAGGAACGACTTGATTACTGATGAATCATTAATAATACATAAGTATTTACCCAAATAATTCCCAATGGAGGATTATAATGATGAGTTATTAGAGGACAGAATGGTAGATTATATATTAATGAATCATTAGGTAATGATTAGTTCATGAATATCTGTGAATCGATCATACTGAGACAGTTTCTGAGACACGCCCTCTTCCAGTTAGAGGAAAGGGTACACGCCCTTGGGATGCGCTGTGGATGTCCATCTGAGAACAAGAGCAAAGTTGACTAAACTTCTCTTATGTGCAACATAAATATTGGGTCTCTCACTCTGTTCTCTAAGATTTAATGCTCCATTAGGAATTGTTCGTTAAGTAGTACTAATTAACGATCAATAATCAAGTTGTTCCTGATTCCTTCCTCAATCATTTCTTTATTAACTAATCATTAGCTACTCTATAAAATTTGATTAGGAGTTACTCATTAACTGATTGTTCACTAGCAGTTCCTCATTCTTTCCTCCTATGTTCCCTGGTAATTACTCAAAAGGTTGCTATTAGAAAGCCTTACCAGTAGCCCAAATAAATTTGCCCTACTCTAAACATTTTCTCTTTATTTTCAGCTAATGCCTCCTACACACATCAAGACATAATAAAGAAAGTGGAGTTTAAGATGCTACATGGTTTCAAGTCCATATGGCTTCAGAGACCTGACAGATGGAATTTCTTTGGCTCCATGTTCTTCTGTTGCACTGTATTCACAACAGTTGGTAAGTACTATCAAATTCTTGCTAGTCTTACCTACTGCAAGTTGAAGGCTCTGCAGGGTTACCATGCAGGAGTGTCATTATGGAAAGTGTGAGGATGCTGCTTTGGAGCTCAGTCACGATATGTTGGTGTCTGCTGTACCATTTTAACACATGCAGTTTAATAACTAGATCATCACATAGGGCTAGGGTTAGGGACTGTACAAGCTAAAATGCAATATTAAAGTTTACATCCTGATGCCCTGTAAGTACTATCATCTTCTTGCTAATCCTTCTAACTCCAGATCTGTTTGAGCCATGAGTCATACCCCTACCAAGCCTAATTCCCCAGCCATATCTTTTAATATACCTCCTTTTCTCAGTTCCTGTAATAAGGAACAGACAAATTAATACTTTATTCAGTGTCATTCTCCTTCCAGGCTTAAGAACTTGATTACTGTCTCTTGCAAGCTTCAGCCTCCCAAATACGTTTCTCCAGTTGTTTTTGCCCTTTTCCAACACCTCTTAATGACTTCGTTACCTCCCACAGTGTACAGTAGATATATTATGTCTTACTGAGACTTGGCTCAAATTAGGGGACTGCTGCCCCCTGGTGGAGTTTTCTCAATGCCCAGTGGTCCACAGTCCATTGTGGGAGCAATGCAGTGGTTTTTAAGAAACACATTAACCCTTTGACACCTGAATTTTTGTTTACAGTAAAAAAATAAAAACTAATAATTTGTGTTTTCATTTGCTTTCAAGATGATGTTAAATTAAGTGAAGATTGTTGATTCGTCTATAGAACATAGAAACGATATAAATTCAGGTATGATGCAAATTAGCGACAACAGGCATAAACGAGAAACCACGGCTTGCAAAAGGTTCCTAGATACGTATCGAATATGCACCAACAGGCATCGGGGGAATCCATGCGCTATCTTGGCTGCAGTCTGAAAGGAAGAGGTGTGATGCGAATTTGCGACAATCGGCGTCAAGGGGTTAACTGTGTCCCATTTACTGCAGGATCTTTTCATAGTTTCATAGGACAATTAACTTTTTAAATTGAGTGTGACATCATGATGTCCTAGATCTTGTACACATTTTATGAATGGTTTCTTCAACTTGCTTTCATCTGTTGTACTCAAATTTGACAAGCTCATTATTGGGTATTTTAAAATTCATATAGATTCTCCCCCTATTTCCCTGCAGAAAGTGTTTTCCCACAGAAAACACTGCAAAGTCCTTTAATCTAGCCACGTTTCTGGCCCCACACATACTAACCGTGGGCACACGCTTGATCTGGTTTTACACTTGCCCTGATTCTAATCTCTGTTTATTTAGTCTTATTATAATTTTTGACACGGTTCTACTGCAGTCATCAAAATATACAGTCTTGCATCGTTAATGAGCACTCAGCAGCTAGGTTTTCCGTTGTCTTCTCTGACATGTAATGTCCGGGACAATTGCTAAATTTCCCAATATTAATGACTGGTGCTAAGCAGCACCATTTTAAGAATTTTAAGAAACACAAAACATGGCAGTAATACAACATAATTTCTGTGACCACATTCTGGGGAGGCTGTGTCTCCATACATAGTCCATCCATTCAGCAGGACCGAGGGTCTGCGATGACTGCAGAACTGATATGTAGTTTACACCAAGGTAATGCTGCATAGCAATCACAAATGCTGACAAGGCAGTTAAAGTAACTACAAGGCCCCTGCGGACAAAAGCAGTAGTGTTTCCACTGCCTCATGTCGTAAAATGTTGATCTTGCTAGCAGACTATAGAAATGAGATCTGAGTCAAAGATAACTCCCAGGTTTTTCACCTTATTACAAAAATTTAGTGCCAGCATTCGCAGTTTCATTTTGAGTTTCTCCGTCTGAGATTCAGAACCAATGACCAATACTTCTGTTTTGTCCTGACTGAGCTGCTGAAAATGTTCTGCCATCCATGACTGTATGTTTAGAAAACAGTTAAAAAGGGCATCTACTGGTCCTGGGTCATTAGGGGAGACGGCAATGTAGAGCTGGTTGTCATCAGCATAACTGTGAAAATTGATGCCGTGGCTCCTGATGACGTCTCCAAGCAGCAGCATGTACAGATTAAAAAGGATAGGGCCTAAAATTGAGCCCAGTGGAACACCACAATTCAATTTATGTCTTCTGGATAGAGATTCATCAATACAAATAATTCTCTATCAGTGAGATATGATCGGAACCAGTACCTGAGAGGCCAATCAGATTGTGCCATCTGTTTAAATTGAGCGATCTACTGTATCAAAAGCTGCACTTAGATCAAGTAGCATTAATACTGATGGTTTCTTCATATCCATGTTCCATCTAAGATCATTAACAATTTTTACCAATGCTGTCTCAGTACTGTGATTGGTTCGAAAACCAGACTGGTATTTATCATAAATATTGTGGGAATTAATAAGATCGTTCAGTTGATTAAAAACAACTTTCTCTAAAATTTTACTTTGGAATGGCAGATTGGATACCGTTCTGTAGTTATTGAGTACAGTAGCATCTAAATTATTCTTCTTCAGAAGGGGCTTCACCATAGCAGTTTTAAAGGCAGTAGGGAAAACACCCATCTGTAGAGAATACTTCATGATGGTCAGTAGATATTTACTAAAAAAGCAAATACTACAATTGAGGCTACAACTTCATTTTGCAAGTATTTGGTAATAAACCAAAGTATGGCTTAAAAGCTGTGTGACCCATCAGGCAAAGAAACTTCAGCCAGCGGCAGGTTATATGCTATTGATCTTACAGACTGTGGTGAAGATAAATACACATAGTAGCTGGGGTGTTGAAGTGTAGTCAGATAACTGTTAAAGGTGAATTGTTTATTCTGGGTATACTGATTTAAATTAACACCAAACATGAAAATCTGTTGTTCATGGCTTTTTTCAGAAGACATGTTTACATGTTATAAACTTGCTAACTTGCTGGTCTCTTTGTTAAACACGCTGAGGTCAGATGACCAAACTGCACTGAAACATCACTTGTTAGGCCTTTAGAAACAATCCTCTGTGACAGTGAGAGATTATTGACTTGTCGTTCTTCTTTGTTAGAAGTTTTTTCTATTGTGGTCTGTGTTACTTGTGGTTTGGTGCACTTTGGTGCTAATGGCTGTGTGCTCAGCTCCTTGTATTGACAATGCCAGGCAGTAAAATGCTTGCTACATATTACTGTATTATGTAGCAAGCATTTGTAAGAGGGAACCAGCAGGTCTGAAAAGTGAAGCCAATGCAGAAGTGCCTTAAACCTGCATTCTTTCTAACGGCCAGCAGGGGGCAACTCCACTGGCTGCAGAGACGAGACAAGACAGATACCAAGTAACTTAAAGATGCGGATGAATAATAATAAAGTCTACACAGGGACTAAAGCAGAATGATCAAAATCAGATTAATTAATGAAACTGGCAGAGAACATAAATAGACACCTAGCAAACAGACAGAATTCAAGATGGTACATAAACTAATACATGAGACTGGAACAGGACTGAAATCAGGAAAATACCATTTATATGAAAATAGATGATAAATCAGGGCATGCATTTGGGCGTGGCATGACAAGTCGCTACCATGGCGACCTGTCAAGCGTAGCAATCAAGCGGCAACCTCATCTCCAGGAAATAACAAAAACTGCAATTCATCGAGTGGCCACTTGAGGCTGGCTGCAAAATGGAGTCAATCTCAACTGTCCCCCATGTTAAAATGCACAACTTTACAGTAGAATAAAACATGTTTACCGCCTTGTTCAAAAGATGGTTTTATTGTATATTGCTTTTCTTTATTAGGGTCGTGGCTGCTTTGATTGACTGGTGGCTGCTGTGGCTGTCACTGCTAGCTTTCTGTCCACCGTCTGTTTGCCTCTAAAACAGTCACAGAGCTTTGCATCTGTACTGTTTGAGCCTTGTAGACATTTCTTCATGCAAATACCGGATGAATAATGGCTGGCTGTGCAGTTAATGGTAGAGAGAGAGCATTCAGGAATCCTGTGTTCCAGTTGGTGAGTGAAATTCTGGTACTTTATTTATGTAGCTGACTAACAGTTAGTATCTAACTGAACAGTCACTCAATTAAGAAGCCAAATCTAACCTGTTAACATTAATTAGCAGGTGTACATGCATAGCTTGTTAGCTTAGCTTGCTAAGCTCATTAGTAGCTTCGAGTGACCCCAAGCTGTGCTAACAATGATGCAGTGATGCAATGAAGTGAAAGGAAGTGTGCGCTAACCCCAATTTTTAAAGAGAAGTCATCGTGTATTAAAGAAGTGTTAGACATTAGGGTGATAATACTTTGAACAAAAGGCATCTGTGTGAAGTTGGAAGGTAATGGCACCACTCGTCTTTTAGCTGACGTAATGTTAACATTAAACTTTCCAATTTGGCAAAGTTAGACTTGGCTTCTTAATTGAATGGAGTGACTGTTCAGTTAGATACTAACTGTTAGTCAGCTTCAATCATTTATTACACTTAGAGGTAGCATTCCTTGAGATTCAGCAAAAAATATGTGGTGATAACTGCACAGATTTTGCACAGCACATTGATAAAACTCAGTAGGGAGATGGAGGTGGATTCATTATTCGGCAGAACAGAAGTTGTTATCTCCCGCGAGCTACAAGCAGAACTCTGCAGCTGTGGTGAAGTCAAGTAGCTGGGCTGTAACTAGGGGGATGGTCCTGAGTAGGGTAAAGTTACAGTAGTCAAGGTGGTAAATTAGGTGTGTGAGAGCTACTTCTGAGTTTGTTTGGGGGATTAAAATCTGTGATGTCAAGCAGTACAGTTCAATAAGAAATATACAATAAGATCTTAATAATAAACATACATAGAGCTGACTTGAGTGGTCAACAGGTGTCTAGCAGCATAGATTATTGCACATTGCCTGTCAACATAGATTATGCTGCACAGTGTCCAGCAGCAAGATTATAATTAAATGCTGTATTTCACATTGCCACCCTAATTATTGTAACATGCCAGAGAGGTTATCATGCGGAGGTGATGTCAGAGTTCAGTAGGTTTATGGCAGTTGGGGAAAAAATTGTGTGTACTGTCAGTAACTCTGTACCCATCTTGTCTTTCATTTACAAGCACTGCTGATTGCAGAACACATCCAGATGAAACACAGTCCAGCTCTACAGGAAATAACAGTTCCAGCTTCCTGTGTGGCTCTATCAGATCCTGTACATTACTGCTTGTTTAGCCTTTTCTTTTAACTTTTACTCCACAACACCTGAACACTACTAATGTTAAATTATGACACTGGGTTAGCTAGCATTAAAATTACTGTTACAACAACAAGTCATACAAAACTACTTTTTAATTTTTAACCTTTAAATATTGGTGCTTTCATGAATGCAAGATATATATTTAAGTTGTTAAACTATGTCTTGTGTATTGGGAAAAATTTGTTATATAAAATTGATCAGACTAAATATCCTGAAAATAAAATCAGTTTCCTATGTAAATGCTCCGTATTTGTATAGCACCTTTCTTGTCTTTTCATCCACTCAAAGCGCTTTTACACTACATCTGCATTCACCATTCATACACATTCATTCACTGAGCCTAAGTGCTCAAACAGAAACTGACATTCACACTCATTCATCCACTGAGCCTAAGTGCTCAAATGTTAATTGTAAATAGTGTGATCTAAACTTAACAACATATTATAGTTAACAGCTGTAAATGAAAATATTAAATGGTGTTTATAGGTCAACATTTTGTATAGATGTGAGTAGAAAGAAAAAAATGAAAACTGATGTTCTATACTGGTTTTATTTGGACATTTCTTTAAGAGACAAATGTGACATTCCCTTAGAAGTTACACAGAAAACAAAGAATTATTGGCACACTGAATAGTTTTGAAGCCAAGTAGGAGGTGTCATTTATTTCGACCTTTGAGAAGGTTTAGATGCACCTATTTACCACAGGTAAAGACTTTAGAGTATTGTCATAATTAATGATACCACATATGTAGTTTCATCACTACTTTGTGCAAGTCAGTCTTTGTTTCATCACTTACCCACAGTTTGTATGTGCACAAATTTTTGTGTTTAAACTAGAATCCTAACGATCTTTATGTTTCAGGTAGAAAGTTTTTTCAACTTATACTAAAGTTTTAATTTCAGTTTTAATATGTGATGTTTTATCTGTTGTGTTGAAGCTTGACCTTTGAATTGACAGACATAAAGTGAAATGCAATATTTTCTGTCAGTAATAAAGACAAAATGAGTTAAAATAGACATAAAACACATATGGACAATATTTAAAACTAAAATTAAACAAAAGGGAAGAAGTCCTTTCCACGTCAGTGCACCCCATCAAATACAGATGTCCAACACACTGAGGATGCTTCACGCAACTCTCTGGGCACCAGGTCTGACGTGATCCACACTGTCTATGGAAGGAAAATAAATGTGTAATAAATTCTGCAGGTAATAAAAATATGAAATAAACTATACCAATGCATCTCTGGAAAAGTTCATTTTCTTCAGTAATTTAATAAAAAAAATGAAACTATAATATATTCTAGATTCATTACACAAAGTGAAATATTTCAAGCCCCTTTCTTGTTTTAATCTTGATGATGAGCTCAAATGTTCAGTCTCAAAACTTTAGAGACTTTAATCTCTCAGTCTGGTTCTGCTGCTCACAATGAACTTTTCCACGATGTTCTAATTTTTTGAGATGCACCTCTTAAAGATGGATCAGTTTATGTTGACAATACTATCATGTCAGATGTGAGAGAAATGGAACAAGGGAGCAACACCTCAAAATGAAGTCAATAACAATAGTCAACAGTATTTTTTTGTTTTGTCCTTTGAAGGCATACAAGGTAATAGCTGTCAAATGTCAAGTAGCCAAGACTAACGTCAGTACTTACAGTTCACACAGCGACCACTTCAGCTGCGCCAGCGTGAGCAGCGGCCGCTCACACCACCATCCGGTTGGGTGAAAGCACACAGAGGACAATCGCTCAGATAAAACGCTCAGTACAGAGTGATTCAGCGAGAAGCGGGACACATGGGGAAGACCAGGAAGCCACAGTGCAGATGTCGTCAACAGACATTCCACCGTGCAAGGCCACAGAGGAGGAGACGCCTCTTCTGGAGTGCGCCCTAATGCCGTTTGGGGGAGATTCACCAGCTGACACATAGGCCTGTAAAACAGCCTCGCACAGCCAGTGAGACAGGCGCTGCGCTGACAGGGGAAGCCCCTTAGACCGTTCCCTGTAGTGCACAAACAGAACTATTTTGATAGTCAATTAAGCTATCGATTATTGAAACGAATAATCAACTATTATTACACAAAGCGTCTTGTTTAGCTATCATGTGCTAATTAACAGTCACAACCCAATTAAATAATGTTTAGTGACAGAGCAGTTTACACGCCAGTACTGCAACACAAACTGAAAAAAACAAACTGACACCATATACAAAGAAAGGAATAACGTCATGCATTACATTTGCTGAATTTACAGGGGGGTCAATATTAATAATTTTGTAGTAGACAGCGTTTCACTACGTTTATATATTTTCCTCTAACTCAACGACTCACAAAACTCTTAAGTTTTAAGGGAGTTTGGGGCAGATTAGCCGCCGCCTCACGCATAAACAGGAGAACTGTTTTCTCTTCCTTAGAAAGTATGAAATTGTCCGGTGTTGTCTAATCTTGCGCACTGGGCAGCAACACATTCTCCAGCTGGGAACGTCGCCATGAGTGACGCATCGTTTCTGATTGTAAAGTCAATGTGAATGCGGCCGTTGTGTATCATAATTAAGTGCTACTCTCAGCGCCATTAACAATCAATCAAATTGACCAAGGGAAACTGTTTAGAAAACCTTACAGCTCATAACGTGAAGTAACAGGGCTTTAAAGTGAAGCTAGCTCGCTAACTAACTTACCGAGACGAGTCTTAATCATCCATGGAGCAACAACATTACGCGCCTCCTCTTCAGATGCTCTGGTGTTTCCAGTAGTATCAGACGCTGCAGTTAACAACCTTTAACCTTTTACCTTTAGTAAAGAGTGAAATGCTCTCACACTTTGGAGGTTTTCAGCTGCAGTGCTGATGTTGTGTTTTAGTAACTTTACTGTTCACTTCACTTTACTCCGTTAAGCTGACAGTGTTGTTAACGGCCCGATGATGTCATGAATGAAGTCTATGGGATTTGATTAGTAAATTAGAAATGAATATTCGATTTTGGTCGACTACGTCAATTAGTTGTTGTACCCCTACAAACAGGCGCTGCAACAGCGCCAGGCGGCAGTGCGCGCCACGTAGCAGGACAGCACACACTGGGCAGGAGGTAGGACTAACACCGTCCTGTCACCGACCCAAAGCGGGGGTACTCCGCTCTGATGGAGAGCAGATGAGTGTGTGCCCTCAGGAGTAGCCGCCTGGCCAAGCCCAGCAGCTGCGCCGAGCACACCTCGCCCTGGCGGTTTATGTAGGCTGCTGCAGCCTCGTTGTCGGTGATGGTTCCGCAGCAGAGGGGCGAAATATCGGACCACCTTCCACACCGTGAAAGCTCCAACACGTTTATGTGAGAGGCAGGTCCCGCCCCAGCCCATCACTTTATTGTCAACATGCGAAGAGGTCTGTCCACAATCGCTTTGTTGAACAGTGACAGATCCAGGTTGGGCCCCCGTGTTCTTGTTGTTAACTTTGGAGGTTTTAGGTTGTGCAGCCGTTCACCCATCTGTTCTTGGACCAGGAAACGAGCCATTTTGTGTCATATGTCCTTGTTAGTTTTTGTCTTATTTAGTCCACTGTATACTATTTTTTAGTCAAGTTTTAATTGAATAAAAGTCTGGGCATTTTAGCCTAGTTTTAGTCATTAACCATCATTTTAGTCTTTTCTAACTCATTAGTATAATTTTGATTAGCATTTCGGTCAATCTGCTCTAACCAAAACAGAGATTTGATTCGAAAGTTAGCTTTGTTCTCATTTTTATTGCAAAGGTGACATTAACGTACCTCAATTCCCCGGTTGCCAGCATTCAAAGCACAGGAAGGTGAATGAACTGTTAAAGTTAAAATTTAGAGGGAGAAAATATGACCCGTAATATTTTGTCTCCGCATTATACTGACAAAAAGAAAGAGAGATTTTATTAACGTTTTTATTTTATGAATTACATTTCAGACTCATAATTTTTCGTCAACAATATTGCATGTTACGATAGTCACAGTCAGCGTTTCAGAACATTGTCGCCGTCTCATCATCGTCTCGTTTTCATCAACGGAAAAAAGGGCATCGACGAATATAATATTCTGCTACTGGGGGAGGAGAAGGATCACGGGCACCAACATGCTCCGTCATGCAGGAGAGAGCCCCTCCCTGCGTTGCGAGCAAGTATCAAGTGCTATATATACACTCATATGTGCATGTTTTTTTTTGTGGGTAAAACTACTGACTGGTTTTACCCATAAAAGTCTGTAGCAAGCAGTAGGCTATAAGGTATACGGTGAAACCTAAAAAAATAGATACCACAGATTCAACTGAATGAGCCCACATATGCAGTGATGATTGCTGGGTAATATGGAAATGAATGCCCCATCTTAAGTTTCTATTTGATCATGTGACAAGACGACAAGACTCCAGAAAGATTAAGAGTATAACTTCCTCTCTTTCAGTCTTCCTAAAACACACACACACACACACACACACACACACACACACACACACACACACACACACACACGTCTCATTCATAGTTTCCCTTTGAAGAGTAACATATACTATGACATTTTACTGCTATCAACTGAATTTAACTGTGGGAACTGGACTACAATTTGAGCTTCGTGGGGGTCTATAGTATAACGAACGTTACCGGCAAGGATTAATAAATAAATAATAGCTTGAGCCTAGACAGACAGAGAGACAGAGACTTCATTGCTCATTACGTGGTCAACACTTTCTCTCACACACAGCAGCACACTACTTGCCCCAGATGTGTGTGATACTGCAACAAAGTTCAAGTTTCAAAAGCCTGAAATAAACCAGCAAAGACTACTTATAAAGAAGAGACCGCAAATCTGCCCTTTATGGTATCATATTAATTATTATGAATCATGTTGTAATGATATTCATGCGTGCACTGTAAAAATTATCTAGGTGGTTCAACTTAAAAACTTAAGTTCAATTGCTGCCTAAAAAATGTGAGTAAACTCAACTTTAAGAAAAGCTTTATTTCAACCCATGATGTTACGTTATACAATTTGTTAATTAATGATAATTTGTTGTTTGAACTTAATACTGTGAGTTAAATCAACTATCTATATTACATTGTCCATTCAAGGAAACTTGCTTTCACTTGTCTAACAAACATACAATTCTACACCCCTTCAACTCACATTTTTAAGTTCAGATAACTCAACTTGAAAATTGCCTTTGTTTCAACTCATAAATTTAAGTTCATAAAGTGGATATAACTATAGTGTTCTAGTTGTCCCAATGTTAGTTAAATGAAC